AATTGTTGTTAATTATTTAGGGACCACGAAAATAGATTTATTAATAATGAAATCTGATTCGACACAGACTTTTTTTTTAGAGTCTGAATCTGTTACCAACTAATCAAAAAATCCCCCTTCAATTAGAAATAAATCTCTCTCTCTCTCTCTCTCTGCTAATCTCTCGACGCCTCTCTCTCTCTCTGTGTCCCCCTGGTTGCTCCGGATAATTTTCTTGGCTTAAAACTCGAACCGTTTGGCTGTTACCGGTTCAAGCCGGTTGCGTTCGCCTTGCAGTCACAGTTGTCGTTGTTGCCACATCCACTAACAGTTTCAAACACAACAACATAAACATTAGCATTCACAAATTTAAATAAAATAATTTCTAGTTTCCAAGCACGCAAAACTTTTCATATCATTATTATTATTATTATTTCTATATTGTTTTCCAGTTTTGTTTTGATTTCAGTTTGTTGGAACAGCTGTTGACCAATGCAGAGCAACTCTTGTTGGTCATTGTATAAATTTGAATAATTAATTACAATGCTTAGCGAAGCGGCGGGCCCTCCAAGCAAACATTTGGCGACCAACGCAATTAAAAATGAGACCCAATGGCGTTGGCGTAGGTTTTGATGAAAAAAGGGAAAAACAAATTAAGGAAAATCTGTAGAAAAAAAGCTCAACCGAATTAACTGAAAAAGCACTCAAACGAAATGTTTTTTAAATGAAAAAAAAAATGTTTTTATGACATTTTAATTGAATTGAACCATTAAAGAACGTTTCAATAAATATATTTTGTTATTTATTGTAGAAGTGAAAACAAACACACTGCATTTTTGATTATACAATTAAATATAGCAGTTAGATTCATGAAAAAAACTATAAAGTGGAATAAAGAAATAAATACCCAGTCTTGTTTTTATCAGCAAGCGAAAGTTTTTCAGTTGTATTATAAATTATGAAGAATTATTTGCACAAAACGTAAAGATTGTGGAAAATAATAAACAAATCAAAGCTAAGTCCCAAGATACATTTTTAGCGGCAATAATAATAATCTAAGAAATCTATAAGAGAAACTATGGTAAATCTGTTAAAGTCGTTTGACTGGAAATAAAGGGAAATATACAGGGAAATAACAGGTACAAATACAATTTTATTAGTGGTTTTTATACGATACCCACTGCCCTACATTCAATTTTCAATTCAAGGGCTCCAACATTTTGAGAGATTTGATTATTTTCGTCATCGAGAAACAAACAAAACCAAGCGAATATAAACAAAATGATACGAGTCACAGAGAATAATTCCCACTCGCGTATACGAAATATATATACATATAGATATACGCATTTGTAGATAATAAAATGTTTATGGATATTCATTAGTCAACAAAACAAAAGAATAGACAAACCACTGCGAAAAGCTCTCGAAATCTGACAGAATTTATCATACGTAGATCCAAAGAATTTCTGTTGATTTGCCATAATAATAATAATAGTTAAGTACATGACGAAAACATGATGGCATAATTAATATACGACTGTGTGTGGCGGGGGGGCCAGTTGTCAACAGTTTCGTCAATCGACTGCTGCTATCAATGTGGGCATAAAACAACAACTAATCTCCCAATAAACCAGTAAAATGCTCTTTCACAGCACGAGCCCTTGATAGTAAAGGCGATAGGTAGCATAATAAATCCACTTTGAATCAAAAATAAACTAGTGATAAAGATGAGTTGAGATGCGAAATTGGCGTTTAAAAACACATTTCATAAGGAACTCTGTATTACGCATATCGCTCTTTCGATCGCTCTTGTCCAGCGGAGTTCGCACTTCGGCGCCCGGCTTACGCTATCTCGCACCCGTTCGCACACACCCCACTGCTATCACTCGTGCTTGTGTTGGCGCTCGTGCCGAAACGGCCCCCGTTTGCTGTCAACTTTGCTGTTGGCGCTTCAGGGAATATTAAGGTAAGGTGAGGCCGCTCTCACCAGTCAGCAAACAAAATATGCAAAGAGCTGCACGCACCCACCTTTTATAAATATACCTTGGCAGCGGTTAGCGCAGCAGCGCAAATCAGCGACGGGTTAAGTTAAGCGAGCGCAGTTGCTTCAGCTTAAAGATCGCCAAAGTTAGTTAGTCTGCATTCGCCTGGGCTCGTAGTCGGGTCGGAGGCTTCGCAACCGAAATATAATCCAAGTCAATAGAAACTTTACAAGATTAAAATCAACGCACACACAAAACGGAACAGCCCAACAAATTTTTTGTCGTTTATTGTACTACATACAACACATTTATTGCTCCCCAATATTCCGGCTATCGCAGAATTCGCTTGGCCCCCACGCTCTATTGATAATCGCGACGTGTGGTGTGTGAAATAATAGAGAAATATTCGAAGAACATATCGTAGTGAGTCCGTTTCGCGCACATTTCCCGTTGGTTCCGATCGTTGGCACCAGAGTGTGTGTGCTCCAGAAAGAAGGCTTGCCGATAAGACCTGAACTGCCGACAAGTAATGGCCAAGAACAATGAATACATCGAAATGTAAGTAATCGCAGTAATCCCTTGCGCAGAGTGATTCATGGAAATATCCACAAGACGGACACAAGAAAGTCCAAAGTTTGCGTTGAAACCAAGATCTACATCCCGTCTTATCTCTAAAGAATTCAAGTCAGCTGTAAAAATGTCTTTATTGTTCGATTATCATCCCTTTTCACAAGGGCAAGTGAATAAGAAGAAGAAGAGCTGACTTTGGCGCAGTTTTTAGTACCCTACCCCAAAATTAATTTTTTTATGTAATTCATGATTAAGAAGGGATGCTATTGATATCTGAATATGAATAATCACACCGAATAGATACAAGAAATTTCCACTGTGTGGTTATATTATCTGAAAAAGTGCTTTCATTACCCAAGAAACCCAAGACACGAATCCATAGAATAAACCTTTATACCCTCTGCCTCATTAAGGCAATTGAAATCATAAATCTAAAATAGGAAACAACAACTTTCCGAGTACTTCTGCGATAGTATCAGACAGCAGATATGCCATATGTATAATCTTCAAGTACTTCTTTGCCCAGACCGCCTTTAGCGACTTTCTTTGCCTAAACACCAACACCAACACCAAGGGCAACCAACGAGCGTTTAATTAAACAATGCCAAGTGCAAATTGTCTAGAAATTCGTTTCAGTGTGTTGTGTGTGTTTATATTGAAAGCCAAATTACGCTGCTTATTCTGAGTCATTGCTGATAAAGATATCAAAAGTAATGTGGCGACAGGTGGCTTACCACCTCTGGATGGACCCAGTTCTTACCGGCAAACGGCAGACAGTCTGGAGTGTTGAACTTTCTATCTGTCTGTGAATTCTCTCTGTCTGTTTGTCGGCTTATTTTATTTCTATATAATGCAGATTAAACATCTGACTGGCTGATAAGACCGAACGAGATGATAGTCTGTATAGAAATAAACCTTTATGCAATGCAAATTTTTCCATCACTTGTTTCTAATCTTTGAAATAACCAAAATCAGTTGAAAATATAAGTACATTCACGAAAGTGAAATGTGATTTTTTGACACAAAGCAGAGCTCTTAAGCACCCTAAAACCCTACTCCAAAAACCCACAAAGCCTTTCCATCAATGAAATAAATTTAGCCACCAGATAAAATATTATTTTGGAAACACTAAGACCCTAGATAAAGTGCCTGTAACTTACAGAAGCTTCACCTCAATTCCGGTTGCTCAATCGACATTGAAATTGATTCGAAATGTTAACAAGAAAATCCAAAAGAATTAATTTCTTTATAAAAATAGTTGCGGCTGCATATTAATGTATCAACCCAAACCTGGCAACAATGTAATCCCTTCCTAAATATAATTTAAATGAATTCCCCCCTGCCATCGTAAACACGCCCACCATTAGATCATTTATGGAAGATGGCACCTGAAACACATCGCACAAATTAAAGTGCAGCTTGCATTGCGAAAAGCAAAGACCAAATAAAAATTAAGAGTAAGCCCAAGTGAAAAGAGAGAACAACAATAAATGCTAATGAATTCATTAGTAAACTCTGTTGCTGGCCAAATACTCGTAAATATCCATATCCATATGGCAATTAAACAACTGAAGCACGTGTATTTTTGAAAATTATACAATCAAGCAGCCAGCAAGTCCCAATTCCCAATTCCCCATTGAGAGTTTGACGACGCCACCGCCTCAAGAGTAAAACAAAAATGCACTTCCAATAAAAGCGAAATGAGTGCCAATGGCTCGTAAAATATTATTCATCTGTTTGAATTGTGAAATGGATACGATGCGGGGAATTGAAATGCAACCAACGACAGACCGCCCGACAGGCAGAGTGATTCTAAAAAACTGTTTACCCATCGAATCGTTAGGGGGGTGCCACTCGCTGTGACAAGTGATTCCGAAGGGTGTTGGTGGTGTGCCAGAAGCTGTGACAATGACTATGGTAATGACAACACACTCGATGTCACTTGTTCTGCCCATAAATCGGATATGAGGCGTATCCTAAGAAGGTGTAGGTGGGTCACTGACGGAACAAAATTTGGGAATTACCTTGAGTCTGAAGGGATATATATTTTATCGGATAAATGCTTAGCAAGAATATTCATCTACCCACTAGTATAGGGTATCTACAAATCATCTAATGTAAACACCTCTAAGTACTATTTAATTTATGTCGATTTTGCATATTTGTACCAGTCCCACCACTCGTCTCAGTAGCGCTTTATAAAACGCATTTCAATTAGCCGTTTGACAAGCAACTATTTTCCTATGCAGCTCAGGATCCAGGCCTTTGCTAGAGGCTGCAGTAACAATGCCACTAATTAACAGACATTTTTGCCTGATAAGAGTGTCGTGCCATAATTAACAATAATTTGTATTTTCTTTTATACAATTCTGACACTTTTGCCGACCCTTTTCAATAGCCAAACACACAAGAATATATTCCTTAATAAAATGTGTTCTATATTTGTATGGTTTTTTCACTTTGCAGACCCTGGACCATGAACTCCTCGAGTGGTGACGATGAGGCGCCCAAGGACCCGCGTACCGGAGGCGAGGACTTTACGCAACAATTTACAGAGAACGATTTCGAGGGTAAGTTTCTTAAAAGTTTTTGGTTTTTAATTTGCCAAAACCTGACTCCACGTTTGATGGAAAGTCCATACCAAAAATCGATGGCGGACTAGTAAAACCAGCCACAAGTCAAACGTTGGACGTCAATCAAGGTGTTTTGGAACAAGAAATTTGCGTCGTGCTAATTGCAAGTTGACATTTTCGAACACGTCAAGAGTAAAGTGGATATGGACTAAATGATCTCTAAAGGAAATTAGAAATATGGTAGAAAGAGGCGGAACTGGATCTTGGATTCTAATAGGCAATGGAGGTTGTTTAAATGGGATGTTTTTTTTGTCGTGATTGAAGTACTAATTATGGAAGATGTCTGTCTAGACTTTGTTGGAAGATAAAGAATTCAGAAGCACAAGAAATTGGTCCTCTGATGTACATCATATCTCATTTTTAATTTCTGTATTGCTTGGAATTTAATAACCAAAACTCTATTATATTTAAACACATTTCATGTATGTCAATCCCCACTGTAGTCTGTCAGAAATTGCCTTGAAAAAAACTGCATTAAACAAGAAATCTGTTTAGTTTGTCTCTACAAAACGCCCACTAGTGCATCGTACGGGTAAACCTTATATGTAAGACCGCTGGTAGCGTGACTCGAAGATAACTGAAAAAGAATTTAGCTATAGCCGTACGATGTGCTCTGTATAATTAATTTAAATTTATGAAAAAACTACAAAGGCAAGACTACCAGATGATATCACAATTAGTAAACTGAGCAATGTCTATGGGCTAATAAATTGCTGTAAAAAGCCGAGGACAAAAATCAAGGGAAATAGGTAATAAACATAAATTTATTTGTAGTCTTTCTTAGTTTGGGATTCTGTCGATGAATCAACTGAATCCACTCGCACACGTAATGATCGTTGAAAAACACATGCCAGACGGTCCATGTATTTATGTGTATAGTAAATGTCTGGTCTTATCAGTAGATTAAACCCAAAAGTGAACTTTAAGCTTTGATTCTAATTGAGAGCGATGCGAGTCTTAAAATACGTTTCACAGAAATTGAAACAAACAAAAAGGGAAAACCGCAAAAAAAATAAAAGAAAATAAAACACTTTAAGCTAACAGAATTACGAAACTCGATTGCAATTAATAATAACAATTTTGAAAACCCACCTGTCTCCTCTTACTCTCACGCAGGACATCGCGCACACACCGTCTATGTGGGTGTCCATGTGCCAGGAGGCAGACGCCACTCCCAGCGCCGACGCAAGCATCATCACAGCGGCCCCGGAGGAGGTGGAGGCGGAGGCGGCGGTTCCGGCGGTGGCTCCGGCAGCATGGGAGGTGGCATCTCCAGCAAGGACAGCGGCAGCGAGAAGCAACAGGAAGTGGAGCGTCCAGGTAGAGTTTCAGAATTTGCTTTGCAGCCTCGGGTATACTGTGGCCATGGGGGAATGGAGTGGGCTGGTGTCCATGAACGCGTCGGTGAACGTGCCCATGTCCGTGTCCGTATCAGTGTGTGTGCATTGTGTGAATGGCAAATATAATTACGAAATGGTTGCTGAAGAATGACGGAAAGGAATGATGTGAACAACGAAATGGAATGACAACAAATGCCGCCAATCAGTTTTGCAGCAAGCTCTGAGAATTGTTGCAAATTACAGGAAACCCTAGCGAAGGCAGGAGGTACCTCTGTGGTACCTCTGTGAGGGTGGCACAAATTATAGCTCTACGCGCGAACATCTCATCACTGGGATAATGGAAATGACAGATGATTGGCTTTGGGATTGAATGTGTGAAGAAAGATGGGGAGCATAGATTTCCACCGACTGGCGACGAAATTTTAAAGACTTATACAATGTTGTGCAAAATTTCACAGCGAAACAAAGACTCTCGCTGAGTGTTCGCGAATGTTCCTTCATGCCGTGAAAAAATGTCTACCTTTGACTGCAACTCTAGGCCCCACAATTTCACACATTTCAAAACCTTTTGACCTTATAAATATTCACACAAACTTGTCGCAAGTAAACCTTCATGTGAGCATTCCTGTTGCCAAAGACCTCACGCAATCCTGACATGCAGCGCTTACGAGTAAAGGACATGAACCAAGCAGAGATGGAATGTACTAAACAGGACTTATGGACATGGGTCAGTGTGGCAATTCCCTTTACGGATCAGGGCAAAAATTATTACCCCAATTAGTTGCTGCTTCTGCGGCACACGCAGGCGGCAGGCAGACTAAGGTCAAGGATGATGAAGATAAAATTAATGACATACGGGGGAGGGACAATGGGCGGACACATACATAAATGTTTATTACTCGAATGAAGGTCTCTCGCTAATCTTGTACTCTTTTCTTCTGTGTCTCTCGTTGCTTGGTTGCAAATCCCTCAACAGTTACACCGCCCGCACAACGTGTGCAGTTCATACTCGGCGAGGATGTTGATGATGGGTCACATGTATCGCATCCTTTGTTCTCGGAAATGGGCATGCTGGTGAAGGAGGGCGACGAGATCGAGTGGAAGGAGACGGCGCGCTGGATCAAGTTCGAGGAGGATGTGGAGGAGGGCGGCAATCGGTGGTCCAAGCCCCACGTGGCCACGCTCTCCCTGCACTCGCTGTTCGAGTTGCGACGCCTGTTGGTCAATGGCACCGTCATGCTCGACATGGAGGCTCACAATCTTGAGGTAATGGCCGATCTGGTTTGCGACCAGATGGTCAGTGCCGGCACCCTGCCGCCCGGTGTCAAGGACAAGGTCAAGGATGCCCTGCTGCGTCGCCATCGGCATCAGCACGAGTATGCCAAGAAGACACGGCTACCCATCATTCGCTCTCTGGCCGATATGCGCAATCATTCGTCATCGAAAAGTGAGTATGCAGGGGGATAGATAGAGGAGTAGGTGCCCTCAGCAGGAATCATTAGGTTACTCTAAGCTCATCTCGTTCGTTTGGTGTTTACATTCAAATCATTCACACAAATCAACTCAGATATCATCTCGAGTCCATGAGTCTATGAGGTTCATTCTATTAAGTGTGTCCTAGAGCGCTACTAAAAGTTTTCACTCATCCGAACTAATACTAAAAAACCAACAACAATCATTATGTCGAACGGGGTCGAAAGCAGACCTGGGCAAGAGCAATAGCAATCCTCTGCACTCACTGCATGGCTCGTCGACTGGTCTGGATGGATGCCGTACGCCCCTCGTGACGACAGCCGTCTGTGTGTCGAGTAAGGATCAGCGTGGTTGTTATCTCGCTGTTCCCACAGGTATAGCCTTATAACTAGAAAAGAAAACTCCCCAACCCACCATCCAGCAATAACCCACTCAAACACTCAATTACCCGCTCTCTCGCGCTGTCTCTCTCTCTCAGTCTCTGTCTCTTGCCAATAATATTTTTCAGTTGCCTTGCACTAAACACCCAGAACCAAAGCTAAACTTAGGACCGTACTGGGAAGCTCCAACCCTTTTAGAGAGCACTTGGCACTCATTTCAAGCATCATTTCATACAGTAAATCGTTCATTTAGTTACATAAGTGAGTCGTGCGGGGGTTACCACTAGCACTACGAGAACCAGTGTTGTCCAACGTTAACCAAAACCACGCCACGTTCGTCTCCTGTTTAAATTCCAACCCAAAACAAAAAGCTGACGCCTCAACGCATCTGGGTTCCATTGGTGTCACCACCTGGTTCCATGCTGGGGCATCGCCTCAGCATCACCCATCCAAATCCAGGGGCCAAGGCCAGGGCCAGCAAGGACAATCACAAGCAATGCCAAGTAATAGCCGATTCTATAGCCTATCAAATGGTTTTTACTGTACCTACTACTCGTATGTCAAGAGCACGCTGCGTTTATCGATCATAATGTCTTGTCTCTCGAAACTCTATCAACTATTTTACTATGCTCCTTCAACTCCTTCAATCTTTAAACTTGAAACTTCAAACTTTGATCTTCACTTTACCTCCACTAGCAATCTTATATTCCCCACTAATTTTTAAAAGCTCTTCTTTAAGCCCTTATTCTACTCTGATGACTACAACCCATTTTTGTGCTGTCTATCTATACAAATTTGCTCAACCACACCGAATGGCTCCTAAGATTCAAATCGATTATATTTTATGATGATCCAAATTCCCATTCGAGACACTTAGATATCCTAGAGATTCTTCTACTTTGCAAATACTCCTAAAAAACCAAACAACAAAAACCCAACATTTTCCAGTGGAAGAGCAGTCCGGAAACACTTTAGGGGCCACCACGCCGATTTCTCTAGCGGCCAGTGAGCCGGGAGCGCCTGGCACCAATGGCAATGCGAGCCTTACCAACACTGGCGGCGGCTTGGGCCGTTTTCTAACAGTACCCGGAAAGCCCAGCACCAGAACGCTCGGTAAAAAACACAAAAGAAAATCACAAACATCAAAAAAACCAACTCAAGAACTGATGTTAATCGTTCGTGTTTGATTTTACGTGTCTGTTAATTGTTTGAAATGGTTTTGAAAATGGTTCTATAACGAATACAGCAACATAAATAATCCCTTCCTATACTCGTATATCTAATGTTCGTTTGGTATTAGTTTTTGTACATCTATAACCCTACCCACAGCAGCAGTCCCAACAAATAATTTGCATGAAGGTTTACTAGAAGAAGGAAATGGTTCTGTAGAAGATAATAACCGATGTTACATACACTCTGCACGCTTATCACCTAACCAATATATAATATATATATTTTGAATACTTATGCATGCTTTTAGCACCTTATAAATGTATGGATCTTTTTTTGAAATCTATTTGAACTTTCTTACAGCACCTTTTTTATGCGAATTTACTTATTGATCTTTAATCCAAAATATATCTTTTTGCACTTCTTTTTTCGTATGTTTTATTTGTTGTACTGTGCCCGTTTCTTAACGTGTTGAACGACATGTTGTTGTTGTTGTTATTATTATTGTAATACCTATCGACGCACGTACCCTGCACCAAAAAATAAATCAAACCGAACTCAACCACAACCGATTCTTGCACCCGTGTGAACCGTAAACCGTGTAAAATCCCCCGACTAATGCAGAGAAAAAATCTAATTCTAAAAACTTGCGACCCGCACAAAATCTCCCGGTGATCACAGAGGATATGGTGAAGAGTCCGAGCAGCCAGTCGATGGCACGTCCGAGCAGCGGCACGGAACTCAACGAGCAGCAGCACAAGGGCAACACACACTTTATGAGAAAGATCCCTCCGGGTGCGGAGGCCAGTAATATTCTGGTAGGCGAGGTGGACTTTCTGGAGCGAACACTCTCCTGTTTCATCCGCCTGAGCCAGGCAGCGCTCATGGGTGATCTGACAGAGGTGCCAGTGCCCACAAGGTAAGGGCATCATTGCTTTGAAATTGTAATAAAGAAATTCCTACAGCGATTCTTCTTTGCTACCCATAGATTCATCTTCATTTTGCTGGGACCGCCTGGCAGTCAGAGTAATTTCCATGAGATTGGACGTGCCATGGCTACCCTGATGTCGGATGAGATCTTCCACGAGGTTGCCTATCGGGCACGCAAGCGGGAGCATCTGCTGGCCGGCGTTGATGAGTTCCTCGATGCGGTCACCGTTTTGCCCCCTGGCGAGTGGGATCCCACCATTCGCATTGAGCCGCCGGCGGCCATACCCTCGCAGGACCCGCGCAAGCGACCACCAGAGCTGCCAAAGGAGGAGATCGACGAGGAGGAGGAAGAGGCGCGTCTAAGGGAAGAGTCGGGTCTCTCGCGGACAGGTCGTCTCTTTGGCGGTCTGATCAACGATGTGAAGCGGAAGGTTCCTTTTTACTGGAGCGACTTTCGCGATGCCTTCTCCATGCAGTGCGTGGCATCGTGGATTTTCCTGTACTTTGCCTGCCTCTCGCCTATTATTACGTTTGGAGGCCTGTTGTCGGAGGCAACGGGCAAGCATATGGCAGCGATGGAGAGTCTTGTGTCGGGGTTCGTCTGTGGCATGGGCTATGGCTTCTTTTCGGGTCAGCCGTTGACAATATTGGGTTCCACCGGTCCAGTACTGGTCTTTGAGTCAATTATCTATGAGTTTTGCACCAAAATGGATTGGGATTATATGACATTCCGGTTCTGGATCGGCATGTGGGTCGCCGGCATTTGTATCGTCCTGACCGCGATTGATGCCAGTGCCCTCGTCTGCTACATAACCCGCTTCACCGAGGAGAACTTTGCCACCCTGATTGCGTTCATCTTTATCTACAAGGCCATCGAGAATGTGGTTGTCATTGGTAAGAATTTCCCCGTGAATCAAGGCATATACGATTGTGTCTGCATACCGCCGCCGGGAAGCAACGCCAGTGTTGTGGAGTATGCCAAATACAACTGGGATTATTGTGAGGTAAGTTAACTTATATATGTACTCATACCTCACGCGTTCAATCTTTAACTCGCTTCTCCCTCAGCCGAACAATGGCACGCTGGTTGGCGGCGACTGTGGCACTCCACCCACCGAGAATGTCTTCCTCATGTCGGTGGTTCTGTGCACCGGCACCTTCATCATCTCCACCATACTGAAGGACTTTAAGAACGCCCTGTTCTTCCCCTCGGCTGTGCGCCAGTACATCAGTGACTTTTCTGTGCTGATTGCCATCTTTGCCATGACATTCTTTGACTACTCGTTGGGTGTGCCCACCCAGAAGCTGGAGGTGCCTGCAGAGCTGAAGCCCACGCTGGACTCAAGGGGTTGGCTCATACCACCATTTAGCGAGCGGAATCCCTGGTGGTCGACGATCATCGCCGTGTTCCCTGCTCTCCTGGGCACCATTCTGATCTTCATGGATCAGCAGATCACCGCCGTGATTGTCAATCGGAAGGAGAACAAATTGAAGAAGGGCTGCGGCTACCACTTGGATCTGTTTATTTTATCAATTCTTATTGCCATTTGCAGTGTGATGGGTCTGCCATGGTGAGATTTCTCTCTCTATATATTCGATTTATTCAATCAATGATCCCAAAACCTTTCTATCCGCAGGTTCGTGGCTGCCACTGTTTTGAGCATCAACCATGTAAATTCATTGAAACTGGAATCGGAGTGCTCGGCCCCTGGCGAGAAGCCACAGTTCCTGGGTGTTCGCGAGCAGCGTGTGACACACATCATGATCTTCCTGACGATCGGCGTTTCGGTGCTCCTGACACCGCTGCTCGGTAACATTCCCATGCCTGTGCTCTTCGGTGTGTTCCTTTATATGGGCGTGGCCTCGCTCAAGGGTCTGCAGTTCTTCGATCGCATATTGATCATGTTCATGCCAGCCAAATACCAGCCAGACTACATGTTCCTGCGACAGGTAAACCATGAGAATGAGATCGTACAAGCACACCACAAACCTTACTAAATAAATGATTATTTCCCTTGACAGGTGCCCATCAAGCGAGTCCATTTGTTCACCATCATACAGCTGGCCTGTCTGATCATACTCTGGCTGATCAAGTCCTTCTCGCAGACCTCCATACTCTTCCCCCTCATGCTGGTGGTGATGATCGGCATACGCAAGGCCCTCGATCTGGTCTTTACGCGACGAGAGCTGAAGATCCTCGACGATATTATGCCAGAGATGACGAAGCGAGCGGCCGCCGATGATCTGCATCAATTGGACGCTGAGGTGGGCTTTGTTCAGAAATATTTACCCTGTTTCGGCGGTGGTCGCGGCCGGCCCGAGACCAAGGCCGGTCTTGAAGGTGCCGGCGCTGGCAATGCCGTCGGCCTAGGCCTGATCAAGTGCAACAGCTCAAATGCAAATGAAAAGGAGTTCGAGGCACAGAGTAGTCTGCTCAAAAAGTAAAGCTCGCACCTGGCACTGGCACTGGCATTGGCACTTGCACAGTCCACAGTCACCTCCACGATCAGATCTGAGATCCATTTCATTTGCGTTTGCAGTTCAACATCGATCATCGATGGTGCCGATTTCCTTAAACTTAATTATTCTTAGCTATCATTCTTTTAAATTGCATTTTGTCGGTAATGAAACATTTCCACGACTATAACTATATCTCTATATATTACTTGTATATGCATAATACTCTATTCTACTCTGTTTTACACGTTTATTATTTGATCATGTTTTTAACAGTATTTTGTAAATGTTTCTCCTCTGCCCCTTCTATCCATTTCCTAATTTTAAATCTTGGCATGCAGCTACATTTATATTTTTGCATTTTGTTTTTTTTATATATATATTTTTCCTTCCAATTGGCAATCGGAATCGATCGCAACTGTAAATGCTAACCCCAAAACAAACAAAAAACAAGAGAAATTGTAGTATGTTGTCGTCTTTCGTAGTGCAATCAAATGTGTTATCTATCCGAAACTTACTCTAAATACTACTCCTACTCTATAAATATTTACTATACGTACACATAAAGGATAGATATTTATAAATGTAAATGAAATTCTAGCCATAAGCCATTATTAGTCATGTCATGCTGTGCGCAAAACGTTTACACTGTACAACAAGTACCTTAATGTATTAAATGGAAGCTGTTATGTTATTTTATAGTCATCGTCGGATCAAAAGTTCCCAGTAACTAACCGCAAACTGCCCCCAAAAACTAGCCAGGGATAAAAAGCAAAAAAAAAACCACAACCACACATATTTGTAGCGAAATTTATGTAAATTTTAATAGGCAAATAGAAAAAAAAACACACACACGCAAAAAAATAAAACGAAAATTTGGCATACAAGAAAATAGTACACACCCATTGGCTCGTAGATCGAACACGGATACACCCTACCTGTACAACACTCACCAGCAGAATGTTGGCTAACGTATAAAATCCACAGTTCCATTACCAGAACATTCTCATGAGCGGACGACAGTGTGTCCGTTCGCTTATGGGAAATATCTATCGTGGAACACAGACACAATACGTATATCACCCGTTCTCTCTTCACTCTTTCTCTGCCTACACCCAAGCTATTTCACTCTACCTATCTGCATCTCTCTTACTCTGTTTCTGTGAGTTCTTTTTGGACCCAAAAACTATGGAAATTTTATTATTGAAGGATAATCACCATCAGCATCAGCAACCGCCTGGGGCGGGTACTGCCACAGGAGCCAACTATAATGGCAATAATGCGGGTCCAACCACTATACACATTCCTCTCTCTGGCAGCAAGCCGGTATCGGGCAATGGAGCGGGCATGAATATACCCCAGGAGGCGGTGAATCGCACCACAGTCTGGCAGCAGATCAACAAGGACGGGAATGGCATCTCCGAGCAGCTCATCATACCGGTGACCGTCAAAGTTCGTCAGATCAATGGCAATCAGTAAGTGTTCCAGTAGAGAGTGCCTCCGCGCATCAGACACTCAGCCATTCAGACGCACACAATCATGAGCTGCTAGAACTCTTCTGATCGATCTTTTGTACATATAAATCTATCTTTCTGCTTCCCAATATCCCCCGCCTATCGACTATAATATCAATCATGCTCGTCTATACATTCCCCCCACATGCTACCCTCTCTTCAGTGCCTCAACAAATGCCGCCGCCCTGTCGCCACGCCTGTCGCCCATGCACGAGGCGGATGAGAACGAGGTCACCATCAATCCGACGAATCCACAGCAGATGAGCAACTGCAAGGAGGCGGCAGCCAAGCTCGAAGGATCTATGCTCGCCAGCCAGAATCCAGCCAACATAACACCCGTCTAAGATCGTCTAAGGAACACACAAATCCAATTTTTACCGAACAAATGCACAAAACATACACTCAAACACACATCTATTTTAGTAGTTCATCATAGATAAACCAGCATCATAATCTCTATAAAGAGTGGAAATATATTTTTCACTCTCAATTTATCCAACATCCAACAAGTAGTAGTAGTTTTTTCACCGGAAACATTTTGGTAAAGATTTTTAGCTGTACCCAGCAGGAGCAGGTTCGAGTTATACAAGTATTATTTATAAATATAATAGAGATAGAGTAGATAACCCAAAAAACATTCCAAGTATACACTTTTGAGGCGATTTTTTATAGAGACGATTGTCAATTCCAAAGAAGAAACTGATCGAACAGATCCCCAAGTCTTCGGTTCCTCCGAAGCAGAACCATTTTTCCTATATATGCTCTGTGCTCTTCTTTTGGCTGGATTTGTTCTGTGTTACGGAAGGGTTTAGGGGGAGTTTGATAAGCTGTGATTTGATGTGAATTTCGGGGGTAGGGGATTTTAGAAGAAGAAAGCCACTCATTTAACCAGGATGGAGAGAGAGAGAGAGCTGTTAATCATTGTATTATAATTTATGCCTTAACCTAAGATACCCACACACACGCACACACACACACACAAATATATTATGATATATAAAAATAAATATTGAATAAACATTAAAGTGGAAAAATACATCAATTACCAAGAGAAGCGAAAACCGAAACCCAATTTTGTATATTTGATTTTGATTACTTTTGGTATGCATCGTTCGTTTTTCTTTCAGTGTATTTTGTGCATAGTTGTGAGTGTTGCGTGTGGCACATAGTGTTCTATACTCTATCTCTGTGTATTACATACCATCCAGCACCAGACTCGAACTCTGCCTGTCTTCCATTCAATCAAAACGAATCAAGCATCAATCAGCCACATCTCAAGAACTATAAATGGAATCAGAGTTTGTGCAAATATCATTCATAAAAAATATCTTTCTTCTTTGATTCATACTTTCACAAACTCTATTTTCCCACATAAAACTTAAAAAAAAACTCATGGCCTGGCCTCATTTGCATTATGATTGATGTCTGTCTATGTAACTATGTAAATTGTATGTATGAATTCATTATATAGATACGCCAGTCTAGGTTACCCTTTATGTAATTACCGATAAGATCCTATTAACAATGGCATTTCATTATTGCAGAACACAAAATTTGATACGTCGAAGCAATTGTGGCGTGGATATCTTACACCAACAGAAACATCCGTTTGAGTCAATGATTTAATATGATTTTTTAGTGTCTAATTGTGCAATAGAAGTACAACAATTTTTGTGTGTCTAACTACTATCTGTCTATGTCTTATGTGTATGTTCTACCAACCATCCCGTAATGTGAAACTCGCAAGAGCGTTGGTTATTATTCTTGAAATTGCAACATATCAAGAGGCAAAGCAGAAACTGAATCTGATATACCTCCCTAAATCTATGCAATTTATTAAAATAAATGTGTAAAAATTAAGGTTGACTACATTTTATGGGAACAAGATTCGAATTGCAGAAAAAAATTGGATATTGGGATCGTTTGTTTTAGGTGGAAATAGGGTAAACAAATGCCCATACTATGCCTACCAGTTGACAAGCGACAAATTGTCAAATGCGTAACATTCCATCCCACACACGTAACGTTGTGTGCTATTTTTGTGGTTGACCAAGAAGAAAAAGTCGTTAAAACAAGCCAATCTTGTGGAGAATTGAATGATAAATTACATACAATTTTAGTTTTAGAGCAGAGACTCTTAACTAGCTAGTAATATCTAATATAACATAAAAATCGAGAAATATGATTTAAGAGTACGGTATATTTACGGTATATTTTTAAAATGAGCAGGTATATTATGGTATATATTCTGTGGGTCAGACGTCAGCTGTTTGGGGCTCACACTGAGCGCGTGTTTTTTACTTAAATTTGTATTTATCAATTAAAAACTAAGTAAAATGTCTTTGATTACGCGTGTACTGCAGGGTAATCTGCCGCTACGCATAAATGCACTGCAGACATTAAGTCGGGTAAGGCCTAAAGAGGGGAGACCTTCTCCAGCCCAGTCGGCATGTTATATAATTGTTGTAAGAATTCGCTCAAATTAACTTATTTTCCCACAGTGCGGCTACAGCTCGCATGCCAAGTTTTCTGAGCACCGGCCCATCGAGAAGATCCGCAACATAGGAATCTCCGCGCACATTGACAGCGGCAAGACGACGCTGACGGAGCGAATCCTCTTCTACACCGGTCGCATCGCTGAGATGCACGAGGTGCGCGGCAAGGACAATGTGGGCGCCACCATGGACAGCATGGAGCTGGAGCGACAGCGTGGCATCACCATCCAGTCGGCGGCAACCTACACCATGTGGAAGGATACGAATGTCAATATCATCGACACGCCCGGCCATGTGGACTTCACGGTGGAGGTGGAGCGTGCATTGCGAGTGCTTGATGGCGCTGTCCTCGTGCTCTGTGCCGTGGGTGGAGTTCAGAGCCAGACGCTGACCGTCAACAGGCAAATGAAGCGCTACAATGTTCCTTGCTTGGCATTCATCAATAAGCTGGATCGCCTGGGATCCAATCCCTATCGCGTGCTCTCCCAAATGCGGTCCAAAATGAACCACAATGCTGCCTTTATCCAACTGCCCATTGGTGTGGAGAGCCACTGCAAGGGTCTAGTGGATTTGGTACGAGAGCAGGCCATCTACTTTGAGGGAGAGAACGGAATGGACGTGAGGCTGGACGAGATTCCGCAGGATATGCGTGTGGAGAGCCAGGAGCGGCGACAGGAGCTCATTGAGCATCTGTCCAATGCGGACGAGACCTTTGGGGAGTTCTTCCTCGAGGAGAAACCCTTCACGGAGGCAGATCTCAGGGCTGCCTTGAGGAGGACCACCATCAATCGAACATTTACGCCCGTTCTTGTGGGAACAGCACTGAAAAACAAGGGCGTTCAGCCTCTGCTGGATGCCGTCATCGATTACCTGCCCAATCCTGGAGAAGTTGAGAATCTGGGCTTCATCGAGCAGGAGGGCAAGGATCCCGAGAAGATTGTCCTCAATCCAGCACGCGATGGCAAGGATCCATTTGTGGGTCTGGCCTTCAAGCTGGAGGCTGGACGCTTCGGTCAGTTGACGTACCTCCGCTGCTACCAGGGCGTGCTCCGCAAGGGCGACAACATCTTCAATGCCCGCACGAATAAGAAGGTGAGAATCGCCCGACTGGTGCGTCTGCACTCCAGCCAAATGGAGGATGTGAACGAGGTCTACGCTGGGGATATTTTTGCCCTGTTTGGAGTGGATTGCGCATCCGGTGATACCTTCACCACAAATCCGAAGAACAACCTGGCCATGGAGTCAATCTTTGTGCCAGAGCCAGTGGTTTCCATGGCCATCAAGCCAAACAACACAAAAGATCGGGATAACTTCTCGAAAGCCATTGCCAGATTCACCAAAGAGGACCCCACCTTCCACTTCTTCTTCGACAATGATGTCAAGGAAACGCTCGTGTCGGGAATGGGAGAACTTCACCTGGAGATCTATGCCCAGCGCATGGAGCGTGAGTATGGCTGTCCCGTGACGCTTGGCAAGCCGAAGGTGGCCTTCCGCGAAACCCTCGTGGGACCCTGCGAATTCGATTACCTGCACAAGAAGCAATCGGGAGGATCGGGTCAGTATGCCCGCATCATTGGCGTAATGGAGCCACTGCCGCCAAATCAGAACACGCTGCTGGAGTTTGTAGACGAGACGGTGGGCACCAATGTGCCCAAACAGTTTGTGCCTGGCGTGGAGAAGGGCTACCGTGAGATGGCCGAGCGAGGCATGCTCTCCGGACACAGATTGTCGGGCATTAAATTCCGCCTGCAGGACGGTGGCCATCACATTGTGGACTCCAGTGAGCTGGCGTTCATGCTGGCCGCCCACGGAGCCATTAAGGAGGTCTTCCAGAATGGCAATTGGCAAATTCTCGAGCCCATTATGATGGTGGAGGTGACAGCACCCGAGGAATTCCAGGGCGCCGTCATGGGGCAGCTGAGCAAGCGTCATGGCATCATCACGGGCACCGAGGGAACGGAAGGTTGGTTCACTGTCTACGCTGAGGTGCCTCTGAATGATATGTTTGGCTATGCCGGCGAATTGAGGTAAGTGGGAGCACCCTTAAGCCCACTTAAGAGTACACCTTTCTAATACATATCCTTCCACAGATCCAGCACACAAGGAAAAGGAGAGTTCACCATGGAGTACTCCCGATACTCCCCGTGCCTGCCCGATGTACAGGAACAGATTGTGCGACAATATCAAGAGACGCTAGGAGCGTCCCAACCTGACAAAAAGAAAAAGAAGAACTAACTCAGCGCTTAGCACTATTTAATGTCATATTTTTAAGAAGATAACAGTAGCATCTCCCTGATTGAGCCAGCTCCATCCTTAGTTAAATTTCTTTTCAGTTTTTACTGTGATAATCACTTCATGTACAGACTATTTTGTATATTAAAGTTGACTACAAAACTAAAACAAGAATCAGTTGCATCCAAAAAATGTAAAGTTCCACTTGCAAGCAAAATAAACCAGGTGGCGCTGCAGCCAAGAGGGAAACATCTACATCTCTTCTCACCAAAACACGCTCTTTTAGCTCGCCCCCTCCCCAAGAACGACACACTGTAGAGTCACGGCAGAGTGTGAATGAGAGAATGTGCAAAAAATAAAAAATAAAACTGGAACGGGGTGGGTAATTCGGTGAAAATACAGTATATTTTGAAAGTGCAGGGTATATTTTCGAGGGTCTGTCGGTATATTTTGTCGATAATCTCGCGGTCAAAACGTTTGTTAGGTAAACCTTATTTTTCTTAATAATCTAAGAGAAATGAGTACTTAAAACAAGCAAATCTTTTAGGAAACCTTTGAATTTATTCCAGAAAATTGTATGTTCAGTGTTGGGGATACTATTAAGCTGGGAGTCCGCTGCCGAATATCAAAATCGCGCAATATCAACTCAATCCCTACATTCTCATGTCAGACCAATCAGCTGTTCGTTGTGTCTGATTTTATCGTGTGAATTCTGCATTATTTGTTTGTTAAGTTAAATATTCAAGTTAAATTACTTGAAATGCAATTTATTTTTAAAATCGAAGACAAGGACCCTGTGCCGGCGGCTGCCAGCCATGTGATCAACCCGCACAGTTCATTGCAGCCTCAGCAGCCCGCTGTTCTTGTGGAGCCGAAGGATGCACAACATGAAATTAAGTTGCAGTTAGTCCCACGCCCAAACATTCCACTGACAGCGCGCTAACTTTTAGATTTCGTTACCCTAATGACAGAAACATTGTGGCCACGTTCTCCGTGAACTGCGAACTGGACCTCAAGACCATAAATTCCCGGACCCGAAACTCTGAATACTCGCCCAAGCGTTTCCGCGGCGTTATCATGCGCATGCACTCACCACGCTGCACGGCGCTCATCTTTCGCACAGGCAAAATCATATGCACAGGAGCCCGCAACGAGATGGACGCCGACATTGGTTCCCGCAAGTTTGCGCGCATTCTCCAGAAACTGGGCTTTCCGGTCAAGTTTATGGAGTATAAGCTGCAGAATATTGTGGCCACGGTGGACCTGCGCTTCCCCATACGCCTGGAGAACCTCAATCAAGTGCACGGCCAGTTTAGTTCCTACGAGCCCGAAATGTTTCCCGGCCTCATCTACCGCATGGTCAAGCCGCGAATTGTGCTGCTGATATTTGTCAATGGCAAGGTGGTCTTTACGGGTGCCAAGTCACGAAAGGATATCATGGACTGTCTAGACGCCATTTCGCCTATCCTGTTAAGCTTTCGGAAGACGTAAACGAAGCGTTCTGCTGGGGATTGGTTATTATTGCGGGTATTTTTAGATCATTTTTTATACGCCTTTTTATGAACAATGCCATTACTTAGATGTGTAGCTACTATGATTAACTTTCATAAGCAATATATGTACATACATATGTGCATTTTACATACATATATGCATGCATTTTCATTCCACAAAAAAATGTTACACATAAAAATGGTTTGTAAAATAGTTACGCAAGGTTTTAGGATTTTGTTTAAATTCGTTTTATTTAGTCCGATTTTAACGATGGAATCCAGGAGCTCGAACAGCATTTAAATTGTTTTGTACAAAACCAACTCATTTGTACTTTTGCATTTTAATAATTACCATAAAAACCCAACACACATAAAACCACTTGTATTACTTTCGTTTATTTTTCACATTTCTTTCATTACAAAGAAAACACTCAAAATTATGTACTTCATGGAGAGATTCGGTTCGTTTCTTATTGGTAAGGAGGAAGTAGGGACGGACTTTACACACGAACGAGGCTAGATATATTCTCATTCCGTTTACATGGCTATGTTGTCAAGAGAGTTATTACAATACAAACTATTTGTGGAGTGACTTACAGACTATGCAGATTCATAAGTTGCATAAATAAAATTGGACGGTTACGGTTCCTTCAACGTGCGACTCCGATACGCTTTCGTTTTAAAATTAATTCGAAAAATATGACGTAAGGATTATACATTATTATATACTATATAGATAGGTTTCAATTTCAATTCGATATGCATGCAAAAACATTTTTGTCTCATTACATTTTGCTAACACGATTTCTAAAATCTATTAAAGGCATCATTTTGTGAAAAGACACATACAAAATATTCGAACGCTTCTCATTCCGTTCTTCCAGCGGCACTTGAAGCCCGCTCTGTGGTAAGGCATTGATAATGGTTGTTCATTACATGGATGGTTCGAATATAGCTTATAAAATACGTTTTCTTTTGTTAGGTTTTAGGTGGCTACATTTTAGATGTGGGTTTAAGGGAGGTTCTGTGTCTGCTTTTGTAAAAAATCTTCTCTTTGTTCAGCGTTTAAACGTAAAATTACAAAATTAATTCATGAATTAACTGTGTGGCTTGGACTGCTTTTGTACATTCATTCGATTCTACAGCGGTCAGGGTCAAGTAAACAAAAACAAAAAATATCTAAACAAATAAAAACAAAAATGTAGACCAGCATTTTTGGGACGGAATGCAATTTCGTTTGGCAAAAAAATAAAAATAAAAACTAATTCTTTTAGCAATGCATTTTGTGGGGGGAATTGAGTTGTGCAGTGGGGATGGTTCCCTATGGGTTTCTCTATGTGAGCAAATGCATCATGTTCAGTACCAGATGCGTGCGACTTCTCAGCAGATAGATAAAGACGCTGAAGAACAGCAGCGACACAGACATGGAGGCACGCCAGCCCATGTTGTAGATGGAACAGTATGGGCATTGAGAGCTGCCGCATACCTCGCATATATTTAACAAATAGGTGGGCAAAGCATCGAAAATTGATTCATTGAAGCGTTCTAAAAGAGAAATAATTATTTTCTGACATTCTTTGGTTACTTCTAAAAGTACATACCTGGTGCATAATAGTCATAAACGCGAACAGGCAAATAACGCGACATATTGGCCACTGGATACCAGCGTTCTATGGTGAAGTTTACACAAATATCCTCCTGATCCAGCTGTTGGTAAAAGAAGCAATTAAGTTTTACAGTGAATTATTTCTTACAATCATTTATTGTACTTACAAAATCAAAATAGAAGATAATCTTCCGATCTAGATAGCGTGCACGTCTCAGATTTCTCACACGATTACTCAGTACATAGCTGTCCAGTTTCTGTTGCTGTATCCAATAGCCAGTGGGTATGGCCACATCCAATATAGCCATGCCCGATCGCTCCGATTCTTCAGTATTTATCCAGCTATAAAAGCAAAGAAAGGCAAGAATTAGTCATGTAATTATGTTGCTCTTGCGCTGAACATACTTCTGGCATGCAACATATGAAATATGCGACTGATTCCTGCCATGGAAAATGGCCTTGGTGTGCAGCCCAAATGCAGGCACTGGCGGTTTGGTCTGGAACTTTTCTATATCCACATTATATTGGACATGCATCTGCAAGATGGCATAACCAGCGCCCTTGGCTTGCACTTTAATGGTGCCCCAGGCATCAGGTATCTGTCAAGACAAACAAAAATCATTTAGAAATCATTTAACATAAAAAAAATGGTGTAATATTTACCTCGATGCTCTGTAGACGCGCCAGATTGGTGTCATCAATGTGCAGCGTTTGTGTCTTGCCACCCGTCGAGGAGGCTTCGATTTCCACACTAAGCGACGAGACTTCGCGTATCCTCGACCTGACTGTGTACTCCACCAGAGCCTTTAAGGCGGCACTTGTATCCTGTGTGGAATCCCAGCCACCATCATTCAATCGCTGCGAGTTCAACCAACGCACAATGGGATCCACAAAGAACTCGCGACGTGCCACATACACCAACAGAGCATAAGCAGTCGTTTCGATATTCAATGAATCATATTCGTATGGCAGTCGTGGCAGTGAGAACCATTTTTGATTTTCCAGTTTACGCGGCGGTTGTGGTATCTCTCGATTGCCCCAATACATAAACTCTCCTATGGTCCTGGCATGCTTGCGCAATATGCCAAAGACATGCTCCGCAATGGGTGAATTACACAACTGCAGAGCATACGCTGTGATGGCCACATCATACGGTTCGGGTGTCTCCTGCAGGAATTGCATATTTCGCTCAATCCAGGCCACAGCACGCTGAGTGGCCAAGGCCACCCGAGAGCCCAGAGTGCCGGACAGATCTTTGACAGTGGCCAAGGTGATGAGAACATGCGATGTCAGTGTAATGTTACGATTCCTCAAATGCGTATAGCTGGCAAAATTCGTGCGATTGATTTTGCGATCCGGCATCCAGGTGACCTCATAGAAGGCACCCTCTGGCGTCTGATGCTGCAGCAGCCAGCGCATATTCTTCTCAATGATCGTGGCATCGATCCAGATAAAGTTCTCCCACTCGTAGAAGCTGGCCTCCTGGAAGATACGCAGGCAATAGCTGGTCAGCCACACCGACGAGTCCGAGTTGTTCCAGTCCGAACGGAAGAGCGAAAAGCTGCCATCCTGCCGCATGAAACTCAACTGTCGCTGATAGCCAATATTCATGTGATAGAAGGCATTCTTCTCCAGCGTTTTATTCCTCTGATTGATCAGTCGCATGTACATAATCGTGTACAGATTGGCGGCAAAGCTGAAAGCATTTTGTTCGGCCGACTCCATGGGCAGGTACAGCAAGGAGCTGGCATTCACGGGCATTGTGGGAAATATGGGACCCACCACATCACCCACCACAGAGATTCGAGCGCGATTCGAACCGTAGACAAAGTAACGATCCACCTGGTAGGGTATCTCTGGTGTCTGTGTCACATTCACATGCATATACTCCAGCACATAGGCACGATTCGAGAGATCCAGCAGCACCGACTGATGACGATACTGTGGCAGGCCATCGGACTCCACATGCAGCCGCCTCGTGATGGTGTCCGTGCCCAGCAGGGTGGCCACATGCAGTGTGACATCCACATCTCCCAGTCGCTGTGGCACCACTGGCACATACACCACTGTCGTTCCTTGGGCATCCAAGTAAATGAAGAATTGATGCTCGCCGCCGCTGATACGCGGATTATACGACCTCACAATGCCATCCTCTTCGACGTGCACGAACTTATAGTCCGGACTGCCGTGCAGCACTACAGTAGCCTCAATGGGCGTGGTCATATAGTTGAAAACGGTCACGCGCACGCCCACTTGCTCGCCCTGCCTGCAGGTCTCTGGCATTTCCACATTGATGAAGAACGGCTGCACGCCCACATACTCGAGGGCCTTGTTGAGCATCCCAAAGCCCTTGGAGGGGCTCACACTGAACGCACTCACCATCCAGTAGGCCGGACGATCGGGCACTTCCACATTGAAGATGTAGCGACCATGTGGCCCAATGTTGACATCCCGCCACAGCCACACATTCTCATAGTGGCGCAGCACGCGATTGAAACGATATTTGCGATAATTGAGCAACTCCGTGTCATTCCTGGTGTGGCAGCCAATCTCGTCCGTGCCATCGTCACAGTCAAACAGCCCGTCGCATTGCTTCTCCAGCCGGTAGCAGCGTCCACTTAGGCACTCGCCATAGCCCAGGGTACGATTGCAAGTGTCCTGGCGTCGCGGCACATAGCCATCCGTGAAGACAATCAATCCACTGTACTCGAACGTGCGATTGGCATCAATGCCGAAGGAGGAGGCAGGGAAGTAAACCAGCTCATCGGGATTACCCTCATGCGAGTACCAAATGTGTTTGTATGTGCCATTTGTTTGCTCATCAAAGTTGGACATTTTGGTAATAATCTTGGCGTAGGTCAACTCATTGCCCGCCTGCATGGAGTAGAAGGCACTGTCAATGCCCGAGAGGCCCACATAGGAGCCGGGCTCACCAAAAATGGCCACCTCCACCTTCTCTCCAGTTCTGGCTTTGCGGTTATTGATATAAACGGTGAAATTATTCCTGGAAATGCCATTGACGGGGAAGGTAAGCGAATCCGCCACCACCTGTCCCTGCGGTGTGATTTTCCACACGACCATCGTGGCCATGGGCGCCATTTCAGCACTCAGCACCACGGCAATGGTCTTAATGCCCTCCGTGATGGTCTCTCGATCGTTGACAATGATCACACCCTTGGACATGATCAAGTAATTGAACTCTTCCAGATAGAAGTTGGTCCTGATGTGGAATATAATGTACTCGCCCACGACAGGCGCCTCTGTGCTGGTTGTGATCTTTATGTGCTGATTCCTCGGTGAATAGTGGGACACCAGCAGCAGCTCTGTCTGCACACGGTCGCCACGTGGGTCGATAAACACCGCCTGCAGTCGCATGTTCTGTATGCCATTCAGGAAATCCCTGCTCTGCGGACGGTCATCCAGATTCAAATCGTTGCGTATGTCCACTTTGACCTCCCAGACGCCATCGCTTTGCTGTGACATGGCCAGTCGCTGGGCGGGCCAGTCGCGGCGTCCACCGCTGCGACTCTCCACAAAGCCCGTGACCTCCATCAAGCCCTGTCGCAGGAGCAAAGGATCAATGGCCGAACCATCATGATATTCCACAGCCAAATATGTGGTAAACGGCATGGCAGGCTTAAAGACTTGCGGCGACTCGCCCAGGAATGCCACACGCAGACTTGAGTTGTAGACACGCGCCACGGAGTAACCGCTGATGGTCTCATCGTAGAATTTCTCACCCACGGTGGCGGTTATTAGGATCTCCATTTGTGAGAGATTCGGCACAAGCAGCTCCAGCTCTCGCAGAGGCCATTTAAAGTCAAAAGTGCCGTTGAAATAACGCAGAAAAGGCAACACTTTACGATAAGTGCTCGTCCAGGAATCGTACGACTCTTGGTACTCGGGTTTCTTTACCCAAAATGGCCATTCCTCTTCAAACTGATAGTGTCGCTCGACCACATATTGATTTCTGTAGAGTATATCCTGTCCGAGATCTGCGCCATCCTGCGATATCTGTGGCACATTGTACTGCACCTGAGGATTCTGATTGACATTGTTGTAGCGCCAGCGTTCGTTATAGCGATTCGCCTGTTCCAAGGGACTGCGGCCCAGGCGGAACTTTTCGTTCAAGACTTGATTGCTAAAGTAGCCAATCGGTCGTATGGTCGCCTTAAGCGTAAGATTGCCACGCACGGGCAGGCCACTGGTAAAATTGGCCATCACACGGCCATAAATGTATTGATCGGTAGTAAAGAAATACGCGGGCATCGTCACATTCACCTCAAAGCGGGTTTGATAGTACTCCTCGACAGTAAAATGACTTTCCTCCTGTTGGCCCTGTGCAATAACACGAATGGTCCACTCTCCAAATGTGGGCTGATCCGACAGCTTGTACTCCAGCGAAACAGAACCCAAATTCGATTGGCTACAAATAGAACAAAGAAAGAGATTAAGAGCGAACTGTGGGTTACTTGTGTGCTTTGCCTTACCGCGATAGCCAACGCTTTAGTATGTGCCTGTTTGGATCCAGCATATAAACATCCACAGGATTATCAAAGCCCTTCAGTTCGGTTGTAATCGGAATAGTCCTGAAGCGTATTGTTTCTCCCTGCATATAGAGCGGCTTGTCGGTCTGCACAAAGATGGTCATCGAACGCTGGGAAAAGTCCAAGCGTGTGTCATTGAGGAACGCCAATCCACCGAATACATTCTGATAGAAGCCCTCCACTCGCAGTCGATAGTTTCCCGTCACACTGGTTGGGGGTATCCGCATGAGCAGCGTTTCGGGCACACCCTCCTTCACATCCTTGGAATCTCCACTGATCTGTACGCCATCACAGGAGATACTCGCATGCACTGTGATGGGATATTGGGCCTGCAATATCGACACGGACACTTGGTAGATCAGGCCAGGGCGCACCATGCGCGATGCCACTATAAAGTAGGTGGGCTCTCGCGAGTGCAGCGACTCCAGGAAGGTGGCTTTCACATTGTACGAGGATTTGCCACGCGTCAGACTGGGCTCTTCGCTGTCAAGATAGCCGGAGCCACCACCCAGTCGCTTGCTGTATTCATCTTGATTTGTCAGATCATTGTAGCTGCCTCCTGCATCGCTTCGATAGGGAGGATTCGTCAAAGGGGGATTCACATTGTTGCCATACTGATTGGGTGTTAATCCGGGGGATCCAGAATATCCTGGACTATTGAAGTCCCCTGTGTTGCCACCCCACTGTGGCTGATTGCTGGGCAGTTGTGGTTGCTGTGGCTGCTGGTTGTAGTAGGTGTCGCTTTGACCCCCAGCCAGGACGACTGCTGCTGCTGTCAGCAGAACAGCTTGCAGGTGCCACATCATCGAGTATTGCCTGCTTGGCTGCTTGGAGTAAAAGTCAGTGAATGAATTAGTGAACGAACAAACTTGCATCTATCTATAATACACTATAAATAGGCGGAGGAGGCTGTGGCCTGTTTTGAGAGGTTGTCGGTTTACGGTTGGTTTACTCTCTCGGTGGCTGATTTCCGCGTGCTGTGAGCACACAGGGCATTGCATTAATGAGGGCGCCTGTTTGATATTATTAATAGATTCCCCTCACAGCCACACTCAACACTGATACGTGCTCTGGCAGGAGCAATGAACGTGTGGATTGGTGGGAGGGTATGGCGGGCGGGTAGCACTATTAAAACTATGTCAAATTTTAAGTAAAATGTCATTCAAGTTGGTGCTCGCAATTAGTCTTTTGAGGAATCGTCGGGCGGGTATTTGTGTGCCAGCGACAAAAAGATTGCTGACAACTTTTATTTTTTCTCCCCTGACCGAAACCATTCCATGTTCTTTAAATCCTCTCATAATTTATGTTGAGCCAGAAACGATTAGGAAAATTCAAAGTGGGATATCGAGAACATATCCACATACAATCTTAAGAGTTGTTTGTTCACATACAAAATTTAATTTATAATGCCCGCACTTTTGTTGGTTTTATTCGAGCTAGTTTAATTTTCGAAACAAACTCTGAAAATATTGAACGTTAAAATGAATCGGCTTTCACACTATAACTGTTTTAAAAGGTAGTGTCACACGGCCATAATGTATAAATTACTCATCCATAATTACGGTTATTTTTATGGCGTGGAAAATGGCCGCTCTAAATGTGGGCAGCCCGGACCCTATCCTGGCTTTATCACCACGCGATCAAAAATGAAAACGGATACTCGCAAATGCATTATTTCGTGGCAGGACCCTCCCTACAAGCCGCATAGGTAAAAAGTCAACACACACATTAAAGGCAAGGCAACCATACAAAACAAAAGAGACATAATAGTAGTAACAATAAGGCACCGGCTGGCCGCTTTCACACTTGACCCCCAGGCAAAGATAGCGAGAGGGAGAGGAGAAGGAATAAGTAGAAAGGGATCATTTCAAATGCAGTTGCCGGTACGGCAAGCGTAGTGGAACGGGCACCACACGCTACCTGACCAGACACACACACACACCTACCCAAACATACGCTCAATGTCAATGTGTTTGTGGTGCACTGAAGCAGCAGAAGTTACTGGCCTATGGGGGTACCGGGACCCGGAGCAAGTGAAAACAAATATCTAAACGAGAAAACCCAACTCGTAATAATTTCAACGGCCGACTGAGACGCTTGTAATCCACCCTTTGCTGGCCGCTGCAGACGCCTCAGCTAAATGCACACACAAGCAGACAGCATGCTCACATGCATACACGAATGGGTGTGCGTGTGTATGTCGTGTAGAAGTAGATGTGTAAAGTGGCATTAATTAGCGGAGAGAAGACCCATTCAAAACTTAATGTGTAAGAGGGCAAAAGAGCAATTGCAAATGTCAAAGGACCTAAAAGTGGCCAGGACAGGACCCGACAGCGCCAAGGAAATTTGAGTAGGCCTTCAGAAGAGACAGACGCGCGAAATCCAATTGGGCAGCAGGTGGCCGCCGCACTCTGGCGTATTCCCATTTTTTTCACAAATAACAATTGCAGTGCAAGCATTTTCACATCTCTCAAGGATTTGGGTTATTAGGAATTATTGGCTCAGAACAAACAATAGTCAAAAAGTTAAGTGCGTCTCTTGAAGACGTTTCTTCAATTTTTCGGTCAACGCCCATGTGCCAACACCAACAATAACAACGACAGGCGTTTGGATAAACCAAACAAAATGTTGGGCGGGTCACCATTAGAATTTGTTCAAATACAACACGATAACTCACCTCTATACAGAAATCAATTGTTTCACGATAGGCGGCAAACCAAACTCATTATATTTAACAACAAAATGAACTCAAAACTAACTTTTAAACTTAAATTTGAACTAAATTAAACAAAACCACAGAACGAACACACCCCGCAATGACAAACAGTTCCAGTGTGACCACGGATTTATCGATCAAATACACCGAATGACACTCAGGTCGAAATATACCATATAATTTCCAAGATATACCGATGCCTGCCCATGGTCGAAAATCATGTTCCTCGATTTCGATGTTCGCTTTAATGTTACTTGTTGGATAAGACCCTCAGCCCTCAAAATATAATTTTATCCGATTTATGAATTAATTTCCCACAAAATGCGCTAGTTTTAAGAACTTTCGTTTATTGAATTGTTTACAAAATAAGCTTCAAGCTAAAACGGCCAAGAAACAAAATAGCGTACAACTTAACGAAAGGGAAAATGGAATTGTACGTATAACTGCTTGTTGCTGGTCAAACTGAAGTATTAAAATGATTTAAGGAATACAAAATTACTTTATCTTAGAATGACAAGTTGTTAATATTCATTTACTTTCTATGTGTATAAATCCCGAAATAGCGATCTTGTAACTTATGCCAAGTCATTGGTTTTCATTTTTTCGGGAAGAGCACTCTTAACAAGCGTTTTCGGGCTCAAACTAGGTTCCATAGCATAATAGTTATTTTTTTCGTTGTGAATTTTAACACCGAAGACAAAGAACCAACGAAGCCCGTTGCTGGGCCATTGGCATGGCTGGCGGTCTCTCCAGCAGGTCCAACATCAGAGTATACTTTACTCAAGATGTAGTGTGGTTCCGGTAGATCATCTAAAGTCATTAAATTGTCCATAAAGGTCCTTCAAGCAGACGCCAAAAAAACAAATCAAATTTATCCTTCATCAGCTGATTTGTTTTTGATTTTTATCTGAGATGACAGAGATGACAAATAACTTTCGAGACGACAAATGCATGTCGACAAAATATCGCAGCAACATATCGATATGCCATTCTGGTATATTTCGGAAACACTTTTCGGTATTTTCTACCTAACCTAGCGCTGGCTACACCAGCGTATTAGTTGTATGTGTGCGTGTGTATTGTATGCGTGTGATGTAAGGTCATTCGCGTGAAAATATCAGCGAGGAAAAAATCGAATTTTTGTGTTTTGTGTGCTAGGTAATTTCCAAAAAGTGTGCAAAATCAAGAAGTTTAATCAAATGCCAGTGCATCAGCGGTGGATGTGTGTATATTAACAAGCGGTGAAGATGTGAAAAATTGTCAAGAAATCGAAGGTGCTTGGTTGCCCAACGCAAAAATTATGACGAAAAGCACCACAGTACTCCTCTCGTGCACACACACACATGTGCTTATTCGCATACTCTTGCATGGCAAGAGGGAGCTTGGAGAGCTAGAACCGAACCTAGAGTTGTCAACGCTGTGCAAAGAATTTCGTCATTGAGAAGAAGAGTGTGTGTGTGCATGTATGTGTGTGTTTTGTGCGTGCCTCGTTACAGTGTATGTGTGCGTGATTGCGTGCGTGTGTGTTGGTAGTTTGTTCTCTTTGGTAGTAAAACACAAAAGAAAAATCATCTCGACAGAAAAATGTGAAAAATGTACATAATTCCGTATCTCAAGTATGCAGCCAGTGCCCGCCCCCCTGCCCATACCCACCCCAAATCAAATTGAGATGAAACACCGCGCCACCGATTGAAAAACTATTACATAAATAGTGCAAAGTGTAAATGTTATTGAAGGCAAAAAAAAAGCGCCGCCGCGCACGCTGTCGTCATCGCCTAGTAAAAAAAGAGAAATAAAGAAAGAGAAGAAGAAAGGAGAAGAGGAAGAGCCGCCCCCACTAAGTACCGCTAGCCAGCCAGGCAGCGAGCGGCCGAAAGAAAACGCGTTACTTATTTTCGCGAAAAATACCAATTGCTTGTGCCTCCCAGTCTGCATACATATGTACATAAATATATGTATAAGTGATGTTTGATGTAAAAATCGATGAATTATTGACCATATAATGTGGAAAATAAACTAATAATATTTGCCATGCTTGTGCGGTGAATTGGTTGTGGGGAGAGGTAGGGGACAGTGAAAAGGAGCGGTGGAATAGTGCGGGTGGGTGCGCCTGTGTGAGTGACCTCGCGTACATGTGTCGCGTGCCTGCGCTGGTGTTGATGTGTGTGAGTGTGCGGTGGCAAGGAGTGTCATGCGTATATTTTACTGCCCCCCTGTTTCTACTACTTCCCCCCTGCTGACCCACTGGCTAAGCCTATCGACAACCACAGAGAAGCAGCAGAGGCAGTGCTCCATTTGCTCCAGCGAGTTTTATCTTGTTTTCTCCATTTTAATCATATGCGGGCCCAGAGGAGAGACAACGACAATCACGTCATCCAGCCTGCGCCATGACACACCAACATCAACATCCGCACAGTGAATAATAAAAGCTAAAGAAAGGCTTTGAACAGGTTTTGCCTACCATTGAGAAATTCTATTTTCTATCCGCGTAGTACGGAAAATGACATTGCCTATCTTTGGGTCCCAGCAAATATTACAAAATCATGAATTACATGTTTCACAAAAGCCTGGTTTTACTGTACTCAACATCAATGACCAAACAACACACACGCAAACAAACACACACACGTGTGCACTATAAAGTCATTTGAATGAACTTTTATTGGCCCAGTGCCTCAACGGCAGGGAGCCTGGCGGCAATGGGGGATTGGGATTGGGACTGGGAGGCCTTCCTCTTCTGTTGGCATGCGTGAATTTGATTGCTGTTTCGAACGCCATACATATACAGGCTTAGTATATGTAATTAAACCAATTAAATAAGTTTAATTCAGTTAAATTCTCACTTATTAATACTTGCTCAGGCTCCACATCCGACCGAGCTCTCCCTCCCACGTTCTATCTATCTGGCAAGGCAGAGCATCGTTTGCGTGTGTGTGTGTTAGTAGGCTGTGAGTGTGAGAAAGAGAGCAAATAAACTGAGTCATGGCTGACGATGACGTTATGCTGCTTAGCTGTGGTTAAAAGCAATTTGTCTCCAAAGTGTTTATGCTCTAAGTTTGCCAATAAAGAATGGCGAAAAAAGTTTCCTAGAAATGTGTTCAACACATATACCCAAGCACACTTCCATTCGATTGACCTCGAAGCAGCTGGAAAGCAAATCGATAGTATTGTTCGATCGATAACATGTCACGCCGCTTTCTCTTGCCCACTACCTTTGCCTCTGCGCTGTCTGTCTCTCCCTCTCTCTCTCTATCTCTTCTGTATTACGGCACACAGCTGATTACGCTGCCGCACATTTTTTAATTTTTCTCGCTAAAGTTGTAAAAATAAATCTAGTTGAAGACGACTTTATGTGTATTCTGGCTGTTCGTCTTTTGTTCCGATAGCCGTACGAAATTAGCAAAGTTCCCTGCTCAATAGGAAAACATGTATAAACCAAACAGAACTGCTTGAAACTGCTTGCAGGTCGAAGCACTGGTCAGTTGTGGTAGCGTACATAATTATTGTTTGTATAAAGTACTGCATTGAGGCATGCTTTATCTTAATGTGATATGATTCTTGTCACTGCCTTCTGCTGCTGCCCAGCACGTCGCCTTCGGACAAACAAAAACGTTTCAGCTGAGACTCTATCTTCTTCTGATTGTTTGTCCACCCGCTTTGCTGTAGTTTTCAGCCGCAATACGAAACTTAAGGCTAGAGATAACTGTGATCCAGGCTAGGCTGCCTGTCCTTATCAGTATCCGAAGACGTCATGCGGCGGAACAGCAAAATCTAACCGAAATGTTTTTACAACGATCCACACATCAATTTGCTTGCAATTACTGGAAGTATAAAGACAATTGAGTGGATGGTGTACTGTCCAAATGGTATTGCTTTTTGGATAAGGGTTTTCCTCTTTAGATTGCTTGACTATTTCTTAAGCGTAGCACTGAAACTCAGATAATTTCTCTAGAAGTCACTCAAAACAACCCCTTCAATGCTTACAAACTGCTTTTGTACACAAATTGTGGATCACCTGTGTAATGCAGGTTATTACTGTTATTTGCCTGGGTTTCGCCATTTTGTGTAACAATCCCTAATCGGGCCTGGTCAAGATAACGGTCCGCCCCAACTATTAAGATAAGGCTCTCAAGTACAATCCACTCACCAACATACACACTCGAACACAAACACACACATAGACATCGCTGTCGCAGCGGCCGATTTCGGACAGAAGCAGCAACGCGAGGAGGAGGCTACTCTCTCACGCCTGGTCATGTGCGGCATTCATTCCGTTGCTCCAATCCGTTGCGTTCGCTCGCTCGTTCCGTTCCGTTCCGTTCGTTCGCTAGTTCGTTCGTTCATCTCTGTTTCCCTTGTGTGTCCGCTGGCCATAGTTTTGGGCCGATTTTGTAGTGTAACTGTTTTGAAGAGTATGTTATGGTTTTTGGATTAAATACATACCAATCGACAATAAAATAAAGCCTCTAAATACCATAAAGTATAAAGAAATCGCCTTAACAACAACATAAAAGATTTTGAAGATAAATACAGCAAAATTATAAGAATTTCACTCGAAAATTCCAATATAGTTTACATAAAATAAAAAATCGAATTAAAAAACGAAAATCTTTCCTAAATATAAAAAAACTTGTACTTAAAACAGTTTCCTACCCAAAAAAGACCCCCTACCCAATCACTATTAACACAAAAACAAAAATATACAGAAAACCAGACATTTTCTCTAAATACCAAAGATTGCTTCTTAATAAAAAAAAAACAGAAAAAAGTGTTTCTAAAAAAAAACTACAAATTGTTGCGCTTCTTGAGTAAAAATCATAATTTTTGCTCTTTTTGTGTGGTCTCTCTCGCCTCTCTCTTGCACTGTCTCTCACTCTGTCCTGTTACGTTTTTGTGTCTAGCCAGAAAATAGTATTTTCGTCGTCAACGTTTTTCGGTTTTAGGTGCAAAAAAAAAAACAAAAGAAAAAACCAAACCGAACAAAAATCATTTGAAAATTCTTGGACTTGAGACAGATTCGTTCGGGTATACCTCGCCTCGTATTCGTACGTATGTACATATTTATGTGGAGAGGTGTGTGCTCGTGTATGCGTGCGGGGTGTGAGCTTTTCGTGGCCTGTGCGTGGAAATGGTTAATAAAGCTGAGAAGAAAAGTTAACATCAAATTAGCAAGCTGCAACGGCTCTTCCACCCGTTGCCGCCCACCATCACCCAAGTGTGTAGCCAGCACGTGTGCAGCACGACGTTGACAAAAGACAAACTAAATGCGGGGTGGGGCTGGGTAGAAGGAAGGAAAATAAAGAAATTGAAAAAACATACACACACAAAAACGCAAATATTATAAAATTATATACTTTGTTGAATGTTTAATGTTGTTCGTGCGGCTTTCGGTTTTTGGCTTTTCTGATACCCCGTTACACGAAGAGGAAATAGAAAATGGTATTATGTGGATAGATTTGCCAGAAATCATACATAAAATATGTTCATTTGCATAATTCGATAAGTTCCTCTAGAGTAGTGAGGGTATCCTATAGTCGGGAATGTTTCCTTTTTTGTTCGCTTTTCGGTTCTTGTCTCCTCCTTTGGCGCTGCGCCTGTCTTTGGCCGACTTGGCTGTCGTCGCATCCTTGAGTTGCGTTTATATCTGATTGCGCTGCCCCACGCAGTCCCTCCGCCTCTGCCCGCTTTGCGTGCTTTCATTTTCTTCTACTTTCCTTTATTTTTGTGAGAATTTATGTATTTTGAAAATGTTTTCCCTTCTCTTTCGCTCACTAATTTTTGTGTTTTGTTTCTTTTTCTTTTTTTTCTCGCAAAAAGCATAAAATTAAAACCGAACGAAGCACACAACAGAATAGAGGAATACGAAAAGTACAACTTCTTTCTATTTTATTTTGCGAAAATACATAGGCTTAACGAAATTAAGAAGAGCTGGAAGGAATAGCTGATTAAATAATTAAATAGGAAACAAAATTCGAGTTGAATTAGCAAAACACAAAAAGGAGACGAAAAACCAAAAAACAACAACAACAAGCAGCAAATCAATCGCATCAACTAAATATCAAATTAAAAATAATAGTATAAATATAAAAAACTAATTTATAAATTAATATCTACCATAATGATTTAGTAAGTTAAGATTAAAGTACAAAAAAAACCAACAACTACAAATGAATTAATTAATTAAAAAAGAAAATAAGTAATTTCACAAAAAAATAATAATCAATGCAAATGACAAAGAAATAACGAATAAAAAAAAATCCACAACAACAACACCCACACCAACAACTACAACAACAGTAGCAGCAGCAATTACAGCAACAACAAACACCAAGAAAATTCAACAACAAACAACAACCACAACGGATCAATACCAAAGATGGAGGCAAAATTCTTGGCTAGCGCTTTTTCATTCCTCTCGATATTTTTAGCGATTTATGCTCAATCACTTGGTAAGTACGACAACAACAACAATGGAAAACATACATACCCTTCCCCCTACCGTTGTAACCTATAAGTTGACCCTCTCAGAACCCCTACCTTTAGAAAACCCCTTAAAAGAAAAACATGGAAAATGTAGCTGTAATACCCCCCAGAAATTGCAAAACACAACACACAAGAGAACCCAAAACAAAACACAAGAAAAAAAAGAAAGCCAACAAGAGAAATAAATAAAAGCAGATTGTATGCGGTTATACCATATACGTAAACGTATATGTATAAGACACCCCCTTACCAGGCCCTGCCCCAACACCCTTTACGCCCCCTAATTGAGGGAGAGGTTGGCCCTTGCTACAGCCCCTTTCTCTACTCGTTCTCCCCCTTCTGAGTCTTTATTTTTTACCACCTAACCTAACACTCTATACAATAACAGAAAACGTACATTATCGAAATTAGTGATGGACAGGCGCTAGTTGCGTGACACGAATCGATTATTAATCGAAGGAATTTAAATAAAGATAAGGCGGCGATTTGAGAAGGGAGTTTTTACTTATTATTTATTTGTATTTTTAAGGTACTAAAAAACCTGCAAAAAAAAAGAGAGAGAGAGCTTGTGGTAGACTCAATCGAAGTGCGTTATAATTGAAAAAACATACTTGGGTACATCTCTAAGTAGAACCCACTCCATAAAAATATTGATTCATGTCTACCAGGGGCGAATTTTGGAGACTTTGGGCAGGCAGGCCTTACCAAATTGTTTGACTTTAAATAATTAAAACCTTACAATTTTATTTTTTGTCACTAAATTGAGGAAAGACTTGAAGGGAAAAAATGGTGCCTTTTATTCGGAAAATAATTTGTCCTTTGTTACCCCAGGGCCTTTGAACCCCCAGATCCGGCCCTGATGTTCACGATTTGATGATGGGTCCAAAAAGTCATTGAACCGTATTGATTAACTTGAGCAGTGCCTCGCTCTTGCAGTGATATCAATTAAATAATGAATGATAATATAACTTAAAATAAGTTAATAAATCGAATTATTTCTTTGGGAATAGAATCGGATTGTTCATAAATAATTTAAAGTATGGGTATAAATTGAGTTAATGCTCAAATGTTTGAATACTTTTTAAAGACACGGACCCACCTTTAGAAGAGAAGAGAACATAGTAGATGTACACTCACACAATTTTCCTTCAGCTTGGCTTTATGTTTTTCTCTTTTCATATTGTTAGCTCTCCCACCTTCTCTTCCCCACGTTCAACGACTGTTGTCCGAGGTCTCTTCTACCAATCTCTACACTCTTTTTGGCCCTTGGTCAAGCAAAAGGACGGAAGGGGCTGATTGGTGCTTCTTCGATATATTTTCGTTGTTGCCTTTTATAGTTTATATTGTTGGACTTGCAACCATTCCTCCACATTATATAGTTTTTCCATTTTTCTCATTCTCTCTCTTGCCCTTGTTCATTTGATTTTCAATTTTCCACACAATTGGTAAAGGAAAATGAAAGAAAAAGGAAAGAACAGAAGAGCAGTAGCAGCAGAAAAGACTAGTCTAAGGAGGAGAAGAACCCAGTATCAAGTTCATTTTGTTTTAAATTTTTGTTTAGCTTCTAGGCAATTTTACATGAGGTCCAATAATGGCTTTTAGCCCCCGGCCGATTTGTTTATATTAACTTCTCTATACCGAACCGATCGGAACCGAAACGAAACGATTTACCCCGCCGATACGACACGCCCGTCCATCGGGACTGCATTTTGTTTACATTCAGTTTTGGAATGGATCTTCCTCTACCTCGTACCTCGCTCCCAGCTCGGAGTCTATTCTATAATGCCACTGGGGCTCTATTCCCGACCATCTATTTATTATTCTATGCATACTATCCATTTACCTTAGCCATGCTATTTTATTCCATCTACATATATCTATATCTATGTCTATACGTACTGTCTGTCTTTCTGACCAAAAACCTACGTATGTTCATGAATTTTGATTTTCTTTCTTTTTTGTTTCCTTTTTTCGTGTACATTATTTAGCCCGTATGCCCCATGCCCCGTATGCAGCTATTTTCACATTCAAGGTGTATTAATTGAGTTTTTTTTTTGTGTTGCTTGTTTTTTTCTTTCTATCATATTCATGCTTTTATTCACATTTGATTGAGGGTATCCAAGATATGTACATATAGTATCTTCCAAATAAGAAACGTCAGGAATAAATAATTATATAAGTTTCTATGAATATTTATGTATCTTTATTTGGTTTTGTCTGATGAAGATTCATTGAATCAATCAATCATTCATGTAATTTACCCTTGGTGGTGTAGATCGAATATCAGTACTATTGAAAGCACATCAAACGTTTCGGGATTAATGTATCGATGTATTTTTCGCTTAAATAGTATTTATTTAACTGGTACACTGTCCTTTGCCTTCTACCTCATCAATATTATGACTAAACATTCGTTATTTTCGCACAATTATTCTCAATGATTTCTGAAATTCTTTGCGTAAATATACAATTTACAATGGGTTTGAAATAAAAAAGATATCCCACGAAATACATTAAAAAAATCATAGACCAGAGGGAGCTCTAATCTCCAAGCAAGATCGAAGAAGATAGAAGAAACATACGCGTGTGGGAGGGTACATTCATATGTTTGCACCTTATGAATCACTTTTGAAATGTTTGGGTTCGTGTCTGTGCAGGTAATGCCAATATAAAGTTCAGGCCAAAGCTACTTCAAAGCCAATTGTTCGGAAAGAACTGAGAAAAAACCACGTGTTGTCCAGGTGTTTATGTTGCCGAACGCGAAATGGTGCGCAGAGTCCAAAAATAATGTTGCTTCCAATTTCACAGTCCCTCTGGTTCGGTATGGTCTGTTTTTCTCTTGTCACATGTATTGTTTGAGTGTTGTCTCACTGAGCAGGTGAAATTTTTGCGATGGGCAAGTGTTTTTACAACTGGTACTCAAAGATAATAAGCGTGTTGTAGCAGCAGACAGTGAACATTTTGGGAAAGGAAAAAAATAAATATTTAATATATAAAGTATATTAATTAGGTCAAGGATATGATCACCAATTTTATAATTAAAATTAAATAAAAAATTATAATGTGTTTCAATGGAAATATTTCCAGAATGAACAAAAATCAAATTAAAGTCCACACTGTCGATGAGCACTGGAGCAATGCAGATCATGTTTCGATATACATATGTAGATTTTTATGTTAAAATATGTAGATATAGCTAATTACATATGAAGACCAGGCATCTTAGTGTCGCTACACGTTTGCCGCAACTCCAAATGTCACGAATGTTTTTTGTTGTTTCTCTTCTGTTCTCTGCCCTTGTTTGTTACTGTGTGTGGTATGGTGTGTACGTTCGGCTAACCAGTTTCATTTTGGCATGTTTATTTAATGACATTTTCATTACATTAATAAATGTCAAATATTTAAATTTTGGCTCACCCAAAAGAGAGCCAAAAAGAGGACAAGACGACAGGACGCGAAGCCAACGCAAACAAAATGCAAAGTAAAGTAAAGCGAAACCTGTGCTGTCGACACACTGTGGGACAAAGGCAGTTGGAAAAACGTGCTAAAGTAATTGTGTGTGTGTTCGTGTGGTAGCGGGTTCCGTCAAGTTGTATGATATGCGGCTGTATGTTTGTACATATCTTTACACCTGTACTGGGAGTACTCTTCAGGGCTAGCTCAATTCGTAGTAGTTTCATGTTTCTACATCGTGCATCACAAAACTCGAACCTGAGAGTCTCAGAAATAAAGTTCAAGGTAATCCTATAACGCCATTGAGAGGTGTTTTCCTTTCTGTTTGGATATGTTCCGGAGTCTTACACAAATTAAAAAAAATTAAAGAAGGACCCCAAGATTGCAGATGTCTGCTATAGACAGCTACATACAAATGTAGATTTGAACAATCCTTGATCTCAATTCCATATTACAGAGCAGCAGAGGAACCTTCACATAAGTTATTATCTTCAGAATTCCATTCTGTTTAAATGAACAAATACTTCTGACGGACATTTGTCTAGGCATACAATAAATCACCTCAACACACCCACCCACTAACTCAAGGGGATTACGTTTTAACTCCTTGAACTGTGTGCAGCTAAACTATAATTCAAAGTTGTTCTTGGTTGGAGAGATCACAGATTTTCCAATGGTTTGTTGTTGCATTTGGGTACAAAAACACATTATACATTGAAAACACAGAGATGTTCCTCCCCAGTTTGTCTTGGGGTGTCTGTCTGCATTTTGCATTGAATCTGAGAGATGATTTCTGTGTGTGAAATGTGGGGGGGATGGATGTTGTGTGTTTTGTGGTGTCTTTTCTGTGCCCGCCTCTCTCGTTTTGCGAGAAAACATTATTTTTATTAAGACAATAAACATGAAATGTAATTTCCCTTTCAATGTCGTCGTTGCATGGCGTTGGCGCTTGAGTTCTCTGTTTGATATGGGGTTTGGGGTACGGTTCAGGTTGGTTTTTATTCCTGAGAGAGGAGAGAGGAGGATGGACAGAGAGAAAGGCGTCGTCATATTGAATGAAAGAAAGGCTTCTGCTGCTGCTGCTACTGCTACTGCCTCTGCCGCTGCCAGTTTCATTTTTCTATAGTGTGGGGGAGGCGGGGCGTGGCATTGGCTTCCTTCTCCTTCGCGCCCTCCCGTTCTGATTGCACATTGTCTGGGGCCATTGCGATTCCAGCCGCAGCAGCAACAACACAACTCTTTGGTATTTTTTTATCTATCTCGCTCTCTCTCTCTCTCCCTCCCCTTTCAATTCCTGCGGCACATTTTGTTCTACTGTCCTTCTCTCATCTTCTCTTGTTATTCTTGTTGTTCTGCTTCTTCAATATAGAGGTTGCCTTGTGTTTTCGGTACGTACCAGATAATGGTTGGTTTAAACAGGGCCGTACGTACACCTGGGGTCAAAATGTTACAGTTTATGTACACATTTCAAAATGCACTCTGAACATTTGTACTACCACGATATGTACTAAAC